AACGTTGTCTTTTCACCTATATCCCTGCTGTTACACCTATGAGGCTTTTGCTGTAAATTAATCTCTTTAATTTGTAAAACAACATATGCAGCCAATTTAGCCGTTCTAAAGCTGTAGAGGGAAAATACCAGAGAAACTGTGAAATTTGTAGTCAACAAATATTTAAAATTATAATAAAAATACTTCAGGAACTTGGCTTATTTTACAAAGTTAGTTTATACAACTATTGCAATAAGCAAGTTTCAGATTTCAGAATGCTGAAAGCAACCTCCTATGAGGGAAGAAAAAAAAAAAAAGTAATAAGCAAGTTTCAGATTCCAGAATGCTGAAAGCAACCTCCTATGGGGTAAGAAAAAAAAAAATCTTCATTTCTCTGGTGAGTTTGATTTCCAACATCAGTTTTTCAACCAGGAGTTCTAATAACATCAAGCAGAATACTAAAGAAATGCTCAAGGACGTAAGCAGAATCTGAAATGAATTACTCAATTTAATAACATTAAGCAGAATACTAAAGAAATGCTCAAGGATGTAAGCAGAATCTGAAATGAATTACTCAATATGGTTTCTGTGCACTTAGAACATCTCATAGATAATACCTCCCTCCAGGAAAATACGTTCTATTACAAATAGAAATTGCTTTTATCAAGCTCTAAAGGAAATAATCTCTGGCTGCTTTTGTCCTTAGTTTTATCAAGTTCTAACGGAAATAATCTCTGGCTGCTTTTGTCCTTAAGCAACTAACATCAACTACAGAAGGGTTATTAGCACAAGCAAAAGTGCCCAAATCCTTTCAGTTGCTAACGTGAACATGCAGCATATCGAAGATCTCTGTTTTCAGATGCCTCCGCAAAGTAGGGCCTTTGCTGAACATTGCTGTAGAATCTAAATAATTCACATTTGGGGAAGGAGGGGACAAAGATTTCATAATACCCTGAAATACTGTACACCACACGCTGCACCTTCTAACTTGCTATTTACTCAAGGTACAGAGCACAATTTTAGATCTCCTTCAATTGGACAGCCCACAGTCTATACAGAGCACTTTAAAAAACAAAAGCTTAGTATGGAAAGGTTCTTTCTCTAATATTTAGCTACATTACCCTCTTATTTTATAATGAAATGCCCAGCAGCTAGCAGAGCCAGCAAAGCCTCCCTCCTCTCACATGTGGGCTTTCAGGAGTACTGCGATGTTGAGAAGGCAAAATTATTGTTTCCCAACAACATGCAATCCAACAACAAAATGCCATTCCAAATGGCTTAATAGGAGAAAAAATGTAGGGATTTTTCTAGATTTATGTCAACTCAAAGGTGTATAAATTGACCCAATGCTATTCAAAGAAATAAAAACTCTAATGCTCCTGTCCCATATTCTATACTGGTTTGAATCTTGCTGTAAAGAAAGTTACTGCTTAATATTTTTTAACTGACAGAAATCAGTCTAAAAATTTATATCTGAAAAAGCCACTTAGCCCTTTCAGCTATCTTCAGGATAAGAAAGCCTGAAAGAAAATAACCCCAATATTACAAGAAATTAAAATATATACTAAATAATTTTCATATTTCTAGGATCATGAGTGTGAGTGTATTTGGTGTTATAATTTGCCTCAGTTTGGGCACTTTCCTAAATTTGGATTTGTGCTGGGAGAGTTTAAGCTGACATAAGTCTTGGATCAGAAAAGATTCAAGGTAAACATAGGTTATACTGATTTAGAGCCAAAATTTAATGTAATCTTTTAAAAAACACTTGCACTTTCATCTAAGAATTAAAAAAAATACATTCTAACAATAAAATAATCTTATATAATGGCAGGTGATGCCAGAATGACCTCTTCAGCTTTCTGCCACCACCTCCTGCTTCACACTTCTGTGCCAGCTCCTGCACACATCTAAGCTCCCAGTGAGACCCCTCAGGCACCTAAATCCTGCAGAAAATTACCTCTGCGGGTGAAAAGTGAATACCTTCTGCGGGTTTAACTCCCTGAATGAACTCACCATGAGTCAGGTGAGTGTCACCTGCCAGACCATCAAAATGGGTGGTAATGCCTAGCGGCAGTGAAGAGGGGAGCAAGACTGTCTCCTTGTGGTAGAAACGATCCATTAGCGGAGCCCAAGGACACGACATGTATTGCAAGTCAGCAAGTTCACATTGTTCACCAGTTTTGTTACTCTATCATGTTTTTTGCAGAGCCCAAGGACACAACAAGTCAGCAAGTTCACATTGTTCCCCAGTTTTGTTACTCTATCATGTTTTTTGCTGGCTACTGCTGATCTTAAAAACAACTTAGGAGTAACAACTTTAAGCTATCTGAAAATACGGATCCACTGAGAAACAGGGGTTTTTAATAAGCACATTTGGTATTCTGGCTTCTTTACAAACCTCTTTGATTTAAGACAGTACCAAATTAAGATTTAAACAATGTTCTTCAAATACCTCCAAGCAAGTACTCTTGCAAATACCTAACTTCCCATGTTTCTGTTTCTTCATTGCAACGTTTGTTAAATAAATTCTAAAGGTCATTTCCATGGCTCATAAGAATTTGACTAATATTATGACAAATATTCTTAGAGAATTTCTTTTAAAAAGAAAAAAAACCAAAACAATGAAATAAGCATAACATGACCTTTATGGATGTCACCATCTTTGGTCTGCATTCAAATGCATGCTAAAAATATCAAGAACAGAATTACATTAAACCAGGAAAGTACAAGGTGTCTTGATGCAAAACATTGGCTTACATAAAATAGAAAAAGATTTTTCTACCACATGTAAATTGAAACAGCTAAGAGGAAAAACAGCAGATAAATGCTCCTCATCTCAAGAAGACACTAAAGATTTCCTATTTATGTATTATGCAAGAAATCGATCCAAATGAAATCGTTCCTGATGCACTGTTCTTGGAAGAAGTCACAGGTACAACCATACGAATAAAAATTAGAGATAGACAAAAATTTTGTTTAACTGAGAATTTAAATTAGTTACTAAATTATTACATTAACTCCTGATTTCAAGAGCAGACAGGACACATCCAGAATAACATCATTTTTTCTCTTACTATCTTCAACATACAAATAACTATATGAAATACCCAAATTCTTCATAAATCCACAATGATTTTTAAAAAGGCAAAAGATTCTGAATACACTTTTAAATCACCAGTGTACCAACGCAATTTTTTAAATGGTTTCCCTTCTCACACTGAGGTATCCCAGAATCCATTAGCTCAAATTTATTCACATACCAAGAACACATTAAGACTTCACTAATTTCTCTTCTTCTCCCTTCTTAATTATGCCAACAGCAATCAAGCACTATTATTCCAGTGCCGTGAAAAATAGTTGTCTTTTTCATAACAGCAACCACCACCTCCCAAAGTTCCAAGAGAAAAGGCAGAGACATTAGGCACCGGCTTTGATGCAACACATCAACAACAGATAAGACCTGAAAAGTAGCAGCAGTAGTCATGCAAAACACCTGGTGCTGCAGGCTGGAAATAGCAACATCAGCAAGAAAATTCTCTAGGGTATTTGTTATTATTATCTTAGATACCATCTTGAACTTGATATATTGATAGGAAATTCATGTATGGCATTGGAGCGTATATATATTTAACAGTTCCATGAACACACACACCCACTTCCCTTAAACATAGCTGAATATAGACTTTTCAGGTGTTCCTTCTCAAGCTGTACCTAATTACATCTCGGCACTCTGACAAAGCAACAGCTGCCTCCTTAGCAAAGTAATAACTGTTGCAATAAAATCAGTATTGTACTTGCTTCCTGCTTTTGCTCATGGATACTACTGCAAAGGCAAAAAAAACCCACCCCAACCCACACGAATATACTAACATCTCGAATTTAACAGAAAAACTGACAATAAATACCAAGGAACAAGATAAAAATAATGATCCATACCAAAACCTGAAACCCCCCTTTATGGCCACTGTTATCAGGTATTATGACAAAAGTTAAATAAAATTTATTTCAGAAGATGTTTGTGACTTCTATTCCAGGCTTGCCTCATGTTTATTAATATATTTTAAGAAAACATTTGCTCTACGTCCAAAAATTAATCCAAGGCCCTATTTACTATTAAAGATTCAAGAACAATCTATGTCTCATAAAACTTAATTAGCAATTATAAGTTTCTGGACATGCATCCTTATTTTGACCTACTGGGGCAACTACGAAAAATAACCAAATAAAAGCAGTAACTTCATACACAGATTACACTACATTTCCTACCATACCTACTACTGATGTTACAATAGCATAACTATTAGAACAGATTTGGCATATTAACCATCATGTTGCTTGTCTCATGTCAACAATTCTAGTTACAATGCAAGCGGCAGCAAGTACTGTACCCATATGAGCATTCTTTTTCCGACCCTTGTTAGCACTTCACTTAAGTATGAGGAGTGGTGGGAAACTTTAAGGGGAACAGACTAGCGAAGACAAGGCAACGGGCTGCCCTTGTAATCTGCAATCAGCTTAAAGAGCCACTTCAGGTCATGAGAAATTTCAAGATGACAACTCTTTCATAGTCTTCCCACGGTCAGAAAAAATACCACATGGAAAAGAAATACTCCATGAAAAAACTACTCTTTCACTAGCTTTTATGGTAACTTGCACGTAAGCCAAACACTGTACAAGGGTATCAATCACCTTCCTACTTAAATGCCTTTTCAAAGTCATGCACAAACTTATAAGAATGTTCAACCAATGTATATCTGCTGGCTCATGTACTGTTTTCGGATATTGATATCTGCAATCCTTTGACCGGATCTAGCATCATTGTCTGAGCTCAGATGACTCAGATAAAAACAATGTGAAAACATAGTTTGTTTTCATGTTTAAAGTCTCCATGAGTCTCCTGCAACAATAACAGGAAGAGCTGTACGGATCGATATGCAAGATTAGTAATAGTGACTTTTCTTCTCCTGCTCAACAACATGCACATGCAACTTTCTTAACCAGGTAATACATGCGACACCTACCAGATCTCTGTGAAGCACCCAGTTTGCATGGAGGTAATGGATTCCATCGAGGATCTGGTAGAGTAGGGATTTAACCATAGACCTTGGCAACTGCATGGGCTTTTTATTTGCTTTTGAGGCACGGTGAAACTTGATAATATGCTAGAAATAAAACAAGTAGAAACATGAAGCAAGTTAGGTAAGTATAAAGGTTGTATTGTGTTTGTTTTTTTAAACTATTAACACTAAATAATGGAATGAAATACAAAGTTTGCTGAACTTTGCAATCAAACGTAATAGTGATGTGCTCACAATTTTCTTAAACGTTTTTTATTCTCTGAGTTGCTTTTAAAAACAGCTGTGAAGTTTTTGTTAATACCTAAAAGACTGGGGTACTTACCTCCAATAAAGGGTCTTAGACATTCTCTCCCTCCCTCCTCCCCATTTGGGATTCTCTTATCCTCCCCTGCTAAAGCAGAAGCTTCCAAACAAGCGGTATCCACTGTGAAAAAGACTGCACTCTATGCTTTCACACCTTCCCTCCTCCTCTCAAAAGCCACACAAGACAGAGTGCTTGCAACTACTTTACTGTTTCCCCCAAACCAGAATTCCAGTAGAGAGAGACTAAAAAAAAATACTTAAATCAACATTTAAAGGAGGGGATGACAACTCCAGAAACTCAACACCACAACACTAGGGTGAGATCATGTTCAAACATCTAAAAATGGTTATATTCTCACTTCCAAGTTTTGGCTGCATACTTCGTTGATGATGACAAGGTAGTGGCTCTCGGATTACAGAAGTCAGCCAGCCCACTAGAGGACAAATAACTGCTTGAAAGCACGGAATGCAGAAAAGGACCCCAGCATTAGTCAGTTGAAGGAACGAAAAAAGATCACGAATATATTATGAAATATTCATAAAAATTAATATTTATTGTAAAATCAATGTGGAGATGATGGGCTAGGTTAGGTTTTGCTACCTTGTACAAGAAATAAAGTGGGGTGAGACCCTTCTACCTTTTCAGTCCTCGGACAATGTGGGGCTGTGCAAGGCACAAACCCAATCTTAACATACTGCCATTCAGCAAACAACTACATCCACTCATTCAGATAAAAAAAAAAAAAAATCCTTCCTGAAGGCAATTCAAAGAAGCATCAACAGAATAGTTTTCAATTATGTGTTTTTTGAAAGACAGAAATAATAAAGGCAATTTGCATTTTTACTGAAAGAGATCCAAAATGCTAATCTGCAGAGAGACAAGACTACTAACCACCCAATTCTTTAAGCAGGATTTGTCTAGTTCAAGATCATCCCCCTCCCCAGGTTAGAGACAGCCAATGGTAGCTTTCATTAGACCTCTGCCCCCTCCACCACCACCCCCTGACAAGTTTGTCACTACTGGTCCCAATGACAATGGTAATGGGCTGATGTTTCCTCATGGTAAATGCTACCTCTGGCTGTCATCAGTACTTTAGCCACCATCAAATGGTGCTTAGCAAAGGTGTAGATTATATTGCTTAAAGATAAAAAAAATAAAAAAGAAAAAAAAAATCCCAAATTAATCAGAACAGGAGCCTCCTTACCGCCTATCAACACCAATGCTCACACTGAGCCTTCCACTACTCTACATACACAACAGTGATGGCTGTATATTAATTAAAAAGCCGTATAAAAGAAATCTACAGGATTATCAGTTTTTAATATACAAATGAGGATCAGTAAAGAAAACAAGCTCTTAGTACCTGATCCTTTAATTGTGCAATCATTCTGAAAACTATAATGGAAAGCCTTAAGGGATCATTTTCTTAGAAAAGTTTTTTTCTTGTGATGTCACAAGAAGATTCTGTGTCAAAACTTCCACTGGCAGTCCCTACCTTCCAGTACCTCAACAATTTGATGAAAGTTTCAGAGATCAGGCAGATCAGGTGTACAGTAAGCTCCAAAGCAAAGGATGCCATACCAGTACAACTGCGCTAAAGGATTTTTTTAACTTGAGTAATTCTGCTGGCTTCAGTTTTGGCAGGGACAGGTACTCTTTCCATATCAAAACATTTAAGATTTAATAGTTTAAATCCAGGACCTCAGGTGTAGAAATGGGTGCAGGTGCCAGCACAGACTGGGATGTTCTTTATACATAACTGCACTATGCAAGGGATGAGGCATTCTCTGCTGGCTTCACTTCCTGAACAGTCCCAAAGCGCAGGCCCAAGTACAGCACATAACAGCCATAATCTTAGACCTAATAAAGGTATGGAATAATTTACAGGAATTACAGGCATTGTAATCTGCATTTCCCACTCCTCAAATGAATGCCCTAACTGCAGGGCTTCAAAACTACACTCCTCCTTTGTCTCATTCAATAAATCTTTTTGCAGAGTAGCACAGCATCAAGACTGTCCCACGAGCTGGGGGTACAGATTTGAATCCTAACAGGTACAAAGGACCTTCTGCATCTCTCTCCGGGAACCAGGAGGTGCACTTGGACATTGCAGCTTCTAACCTTTAGGTATGCTCAAGGTCTTTGCTGAATCTTACCCCTAATGGATTACCACTAAGAATAAAACATGAGGACTTCCACAATCCAGTCAAGTCAGAAAAGCATGTTTGTAGAAGACAAGCAGAGGGTCAATCAGCTTCAATATTCTCCACAACTTTTTTCACTGTCACTCTCTGAAGATAACTTAATTCCCGTACTCTGATATACCACCTGGCCACAAAAGCTGGAAAATACCCAGACACATTCAGTAGAACTTTAGGGAAGCCTTAACTGTCAGCACGCACTATACCAGTCGCATGCTACAGAACAGAAACCCATCCACAACGTCATCCAGCCATAATTTCATCTTAATTAGTTCATTAGAACACCGCAGATGCAAGCTCTCCTTCTGATATATTGAAAATGCTTCAAAACAAAAGAAGAATGCATGTCATACAAGGTAAATGAAACTCCAAGAAATATTAAAATCTGTTCAGCAGAAGTAGCCAAGTTGCCTTCCCTTTCTGTGCGCATCTGTATTTTAGATTCCTAAATCTTAAAAATATGCTGCCACTGACGGAATTCCAAAAACATTGTGAGCCCATTAGGTATTCACTTTTGAAAATAAACATAATGTAAAAATACCTCTATTGCTTTTACATATTTTGTTTTAAATTTAAACAAGGCATAGACTTTGTGGCAGTGGCTTTAAGTCCATATCCTAAATTAAATTAAATACTTCACTAACCAACATTAAAGTATACATATATTAAAATCCAGAAAAGTAATTAAGTTTCCAGAGGCTTGCTATAATTTGCTGTTTGCAATCTCTGGGACTATTGGTTTTATTTACTAACTGCTTATTCAACTTATTTTCAACTTAAAAAAAACATAACAAAATTGAGAAGAAAAACAGATGAACCAGTTTATTTCAGTAAGACATTTTTAGCTTTCATAAAGGCAAGACCATATAAACAATCATAGATCAGAAGTAAAACAGAGCTAAGCATTTGGAAAGAAAATACAGTAGTGACTTATCAAACAATATGCGATCTAGTATTTGTCCGCCTGTGTTACCTAGTGTGTTGAAATTTATTTTAAAATTGGCTGCTGAGGAACTACGTACATTTTCTAAATGCTCCACCATAAACAAAGTAAACATAATGCACGACAATATACAGCAAACCCATTTAGTCCATTTCATTAAAACCCCCAGTATTTACTCAGGAGTTAAATGAGCATTCAAAAAGATCCTAATTTTAGCCTGCTTCTGAGCAAGTCAAACTGATATAAACATACTCTCCCTGTGTTTGTGCCATCCCATTCCTGATTCTAAGAACTGCTGTTCAGTATGACAAGGTTAAAACAAACAAACAAATCAGACCTGGAAAGTTTTCATGGAAGCAGCCAGCTAAAGGAGAGATTTTATGCATGTCTGACTAAATGAAGTTACAGTGTGACTCTCGACAGACATGAGATGATCCATAGACCTCAAGACACAAACCCCTAGAAAACCTGGCTACCTGAGTTCTGTTGCTTAAGGCAATGCTTGTTGCAAAATTACATGTGTCTGCCTCAAACTGAAATGCAAATCATGTCAACACAGATGCCTCCCCCTGCTGAAGTAAATTGTCTGTTTGCCCCCACACTTTAGCAAAATACCTTCCTTCTATCCTATCCCTAATCCAGCCTTTGAGAATAAAACAGAATTATGTCAATCCACCAGTAAAAAGTAAAATTACCTTTTAATACTAAAGAGATGGAAGCTTGGGTACTTATTAAATCTGTGCCAAGGTCAAGAGGAAGACTCAGATCATATGGCTTCAAGTCTCATTTTAAACATAAAATTATTTCTGTCTTCTCTCTTCAGCAATCAATACCCAGACAAAGGTGACTAATATTGCTGAGTGTTAAACATAAAGCACTTGAAAGGCTATGGAAGAATAAATCAAAATCTAAAGGCGGTATAAAACTAACCGTACATTGTTCGCACAATTTTCAAAAAGAGGAAGCAAAGACAGACCCAACTAACCTGAGTAACATCTGTTTACTGTTACAAAAATAAATCAGAGCTTCATATGCCTACACTTGGGACCCATTTCAGACATCAAAGTTTTAGACATTAAAAAAAATTTTGTCAAGAGTATAGTACAAGTAAAATAAAACAAAATCAAAACAAAAGTGGGTAAAAGTATTTCTACAGCGATCACTTAAGTTTCCGATTTTGGAAGCATTACAGCAATCATAACTGTCCTTCAAAAGAGAAAGGAGGAAAAAATATGCCTCAACACTCTCCCTCTAAATGATGCCGGTACACTGTCATCATCAAGTATCTTCCTCAGAATGTCATTAACCAAACTGCCTAATGAAAAATCCATTTCCAAGTGACAAGAGGTCAAGACATTTTAAGTAACAGTGAAAGGAGCTTTAACACACTAACTTTTTGCTAATGCCAACTTGGTTTAAATACATAAGCTTTGAAGCACAGAGCAGACATAAACAGATTCAGTATAATTTTCCCAGGTTTTGATGGGGTCTTTCGAGGTCATCTACATCTTTCAGACCTAAATATGCCAAAATAATTCTATACGATAATAAAAACCATGAGAATTCAGCTACCCTTTCAGTACATGTCTGAAACACTCAGTACTCACGCCACTCTGTTCACATTAATTCTTCACAC